GGCCTTTATGATGTTGAAGTATGTTCCATCTGTAACTACTTTGTTGAGGGTTTTTAATTAAGAATGGATGCTGTATTTTATCAAATGCTTTTTCTGCAGTTATTAAGAAGATCATATAGTCCTTATCCCTTTTTTTTATTAATGTAGTGTATCACATTGATTTGTGAATATTGGACCACCCCTGCAACCCAGGAATAAATCCCACTTGATTGTGGTGAATAATTCTTTTAATTCCTTATGGTTTTCTTAAACTTTTTTTCTCTAGCTTACTTTATTTTAAGAATACAGTATATGATACATATACCATACAAAGTATATGGTTATCAGCTATTTATTTGTGGTAAGACTTCTGCTCAGTAGTAGGCCGTTAGTAGTTAAGTTCTGGGGAGTCCGAAGCTATACACAGATTTTTGATTGTGTGGGGTTGGGGGGACCCTATGTTGTTCAAGGGTAAACTATAATATTTTATTAACTTGATATCAAGAATACAAATTATCCTTATTTTGGATCTTTTTTTGATGGTCTTCCATATCTTGATTTCTTTCTAATTATTTCTTCTTCTTTCCTAATTATGTCTTTGCATCATTTTCATTTGTATTGTTTATGATTATCTCAAATTTTTATGATAGTAATCTAATTTTCAGCTATATCATTTCAGTTTTGTGATTTATCAGGTTTTTTTGGTTTGTTTTTTTAAGTAGGCTCCATACCCAGTGTGGAGCCCAATGTGGGGCTTGAACTCATGACCCTAAGATCAAATTGGACACTTAATCAACTGAGCCACCTAGGCCCCCCTAAATATGTCTTTTAATAGTGGTTTTTAAATTCTCTCTTTTTAAAATCCTATTGTTTATCATCTTTTCTTATTTTATTGACTAGCCATGTTTTTGCTAGGTATATATCTTCAAAACTCTTATGGAAATCTGTTTTGTTTTTTGAGTTGTGTTTTCTTTTACATTTGACTGTCTTGTACATTGCTATAATCCTTTCTTATTGGTTGATTGACTGATTGATTGATTGATGTAATACATATGCCAGGTTGCCATGCTGCTTTTAGTCTTGTTCTTAGGTGGACTTCCTTGTCCACACTTTCTGTGTGTCCTCATAGAAGGCATGGGGCACCCTCTTCTTACCACTATAGCCAAGTCCAGTTTTCTCTTCTCCCTTCTGAGCTACAGTTTAAAAGCCATTGTCCTTAATATATATGTTTTTTTCTGTGCCCCATAGGTGTGGTGATAACATGCTGTTAGATTCTCAGGACTGTTCTTACTTCTGAGATTTGACTAAATATCTTGTTTGGGCTCATTTCACCTAATTAGGAAAGTGGGAGGTATGAGTATCCTGTTCCCATAGAGAAATTCTTTTGGCTTTAGACTGACTTCCCAGTGCAGTGTGTATTCAGGAATGTTATTTTCAGATCACTCCCCCTGGCAACCCATTTCTCTGTTTTCCAGTCAGAAGATTGAAAAGGTAACAACAGCTGTTTCATTTGTTCTTCCTCAGGTCTGGGGGTTATTAGTAAGAATTCCCAAGGTTTTGTCAACCCCAGTATATGATATGGAAGAAGGGTGGTTAAGGTGGCTAGAACGCTGGCCACACTTCTAACTCTTCTCCACTCCAGAATTTTACGTTTATATCCTAGAACATTTTTTAAGGTTTGTGACTTTGACTTCTGCCCCTTTTTTGGTTGTTATAGGTAAAGGGTTTTTTTTTGGGGGGGGGTTTGTCTTAAATTTTTTATTCTTATGACTAGGTATTAGGGGAGAGAAATTCTCTCAAGCAGTTTTATCTTTCCATTTTAATGTAGAAATTAGTGAAGACATGCTAAGTAATTTATCCAGTGTTACATGAATTTTAGAAGACAAGTCACCTAGCCTATTGGGCCTTCAATTTTTTTCCCCCACTTTTGTATTAGCCACCTTTATTCAAATTGAAGTTCTTCTAAGGTTAAAAGATGTAATGAATTTGAACATTGGAGTAATGAAAAAATGTTAAAACTGCAGTGTTTCAGTCTTAGAGTTAAACCTAATGCAATGCATATAAGAATATCAGAATTTCCTTTCTTTTTATGTCTTTTTCATAGATTTAAAACAATGGTTGGAAATCAAACCAGTGAACTTCTTTTACTTCTAAAAGACCTTTACAAGCTTCACATTTTAAATATGCTTATATATTTAAGTTTTTGGTTGGTCTTGGCTTTTTTCCTTTATAGAGGTCATACAAGGAAGTTCACTTTTATTTGGCAATGTTTACTTGGGGCTTTTGGTAATAACCCTTAAATGTATGTGCTTTGTTCATTCCAAGACTTGATTTACATATAAAGTATAGTAAAATAAAAGAAGATACACTCTCTTTCATGCCACTTTATACAATTAATGCTGGGGTTGGGACACCCATCCCCCATGCAGTTTTAAATCTGCATATAACCTTTGACTCCCCAAAACCAACTACTGACAGCCTACAGTTGAATGGAAGCCTTTCTGATAACATGAACCATTGATTAACACATATTTTGGGGGATTTTTTGTTGTTTTTTTTAAAATATTTTATTTTATTTATTTGACAGAGAGAGACACAGTGAGAGGGAACACAAACAGGGGGAGTGGGAGAGAGATAAGCAGGCTTCCTACGGAGCAGGGAACCCAATGCAAGGCTCAATCCCAGGACCCTGGGATCATGACCTGAGCCAAAGGCAGACACTTAATGACTGAGCCACCCAGGCGCCCCAGATTAACACATATTTTGTATGTTATATGTATTATATGCTGTATTCTTACAACAAAGTAAGCTAAAGAACATCATAAGGAAGAAAAAATACATTTCCGGTACTGTACTGTATTTATTGAAAAAAATTTGTGTATACGTGGCCCTGTGTAGTTCAAACTCGAGTTGTTCAAGGGTCAGCTGTACAAAAAACCATTATAACTTTTTTATGTGGTTTTTAGGCTTTTAAATTGAGAACATACCGTAGATCGATATTGTAGACTGTAGGGGGGTTAAGAAACCTCAGTGGATTTTCTGGTAGTGACTTACATGATTGTTCTTTATCCATTGATTTAAAATCTGTTAGCCATGTAATATAGTTACCTTTCTTGTTCAGAGTTGACATAAATCATATGTCTCAGGATCTGAAATAAGAAAACTGTGTGCAGTTTTTAATGAAGCTGCTTGAAATTTCAGTCAGTGCATTTTTAATGATTTGTAGATTGGGGCACCTGGGTGGGTCTGTCTGTTAAGCCTCTGACTCTTGATTTCAGCTTAGGTCTTGATCTCAGGGTCGTGAGTTCAAGCCCTGTGTTGAGCTCCATGTAGGGTGTGGAGCCTACCCTACTTAAAAAAATAATAATAAAAATGTTTTTTGTAGATTATGTGTGCTGTATTTTTAACCTACATTTTCATTCTTTAAGAAGATCCTGTAACTGAGATACCTACATGTGCACACACACACATGCACACACATGCACACACACATATAGACACCCAAACATGCACATGACTTTTGGTGAACTAAGTGTAGTCCGTACTTGGGTTAGACTGCTGTGGGGAAAGTATTACGTTTTTTCCTCCTACTTTTTACTACGTGGTAACGTGCAGAGGACAAGTGACCACTGTCCTCGTGGTCCACTGCTAGCATGTAGCACCTTTCATTTTCTGTTATCATAACATTGCTCTGACTTTACTAGTGTGGATTTTGTTGGTTTTATTATTGAATAGTTTATTTTACTCAGTAAAGACAATCTTTTAAGCTGTGCTTATGGATTCGAAAAGAATGATGAATACAAAGCTATCATATTTCAATGTCCTTTGTAGTTACTGACTTATCTGTGTGAAATAAAGTCCTGTATTCACTGTGGGAGCCTCTGAATTTTACAGAGGCTTTTTACATAGGAATTTAACTACTTTAAAAGCCATAATTTATTATTTTTCTATGATTTTTGTTTCTTTTCAAGCTTTCCTAATGACCTATACTAGTGATTCACACCTTACAAAACATTTTTATGCATTATTGTGTTCAACTAATAACCACTTTAACAGATCTTTTAGTTTTCACTATTGCAAACTTTACTGTGGCCCTTATTCTCAAACCTTTGCATACATTTGATTCAGACACATTTTTTAGAGGCAGAATTGCTGAATCGAAGGATATACCTACTTATAAGGCTTTTGATACAAATTTGCCGAATTCCAATTATTTTATTCCTACTGAGGTTGAATATTTTTAATGAATATTTATTCATTATTCATGAATATTTTTAATTTATTTTTATTTTTATTATATTTATTCCATCGTGATTTCTTCCTTGTGCCCTTTGTTCATTACTAAAAATATTAAGTCCATCTTTTTCTTACTGATTTATAAGAGCTTTTATTTTTAACAGTATCAGTCTTCTAGCAAATACATTACAAGGGGATTTCCTCCCAATGCCTCTGCTTCAAGTTTGACATTTCCCTTTTGTTTTGCTTTTGTCTTTCAGAGCTTTTGCCTTTTAAGTTTTGTAATTGTTTTTTACATAGACATTAAAATTTTATATTTTGTAAAATTTTTCACCTTTTATGAATCTTTTCACCCTTTGACTTTTGTGCTTAAGAAGTTATTCCCTAGCCATTGATTATGTAAATTGTCATAACACTCAAACAAAATTCTTAAATGTAGGTTTTTTCAAAAATTGCTATCCCCAAAATATTTCTTATTGCTAATTATTTAAACTCAGCCTACTGCTATGAACTTTTTGAAGAAATGATCTTCCCCCATTCTTCCAAACATGGGATTTCTGCTAAATACTGCCTAGTGGAAGTTGGATATTAGGGAAAATAGTCTTATCTTTGGTTTGCGTTGCTCAACAAGAGCCAGTGGAGATTTTAATTTTTCAAATGATGGTATTTTTGCTCCAAAGTTTAAGTATGAAAAGAGTGAAAATCCAAATTAATATTTATGAATTGTTATTAATTTCCTTTTTAGCTACACCCTAACAGTAAAGCACTGGTGATTTGTTTTGCAGAATCCTTGCAGCCTTTCCTGGAAGCCTGTAGCAACACTTTATTTTTTCGTACTTGCTCTGTGTTGCTTCGAACCCCTAAGCTTGATCTTCAAATACTAGAAAAGCTCAGTATTATTCTGCAGAAACTTTCCAAAATCAAGTAAGAATTTTTTTTATTTCTAAGATTTTTTTATTGAAAGATCTCTTATTGTGATCATTTAGGCCTTTCTGAATCCTGTACTCATTCAACTTTATTAAATCACAGGTTCCAATAAATGTAGAATCTTGAGATTCATGAAATATTAATGCATGTCTAAGATACATACTTAGTGACAGATGAGAATTAGAGCGTTCATCTAGGAATGTCTTGTTTCCGTAGTTCATTTCTGCTAAACGAACCTTAGGTACCACAGAGTATGCAAAACTAAGAGCAGTTTTTAGCAACCAAGTGGTAGTATTAGAGTGAATTACTGCACACTGATACTCTGTAATACCACAAGTGAAAATAATAAAAGATATTAAAAGTTTATCTGCAGATCCTGTTGATGTATTGAAATGAATTTAGGGACTGAGAATGAAGCAGGTAGAAGAGATTTAAAATGATAACTGTTAACTGGTTTATTTTAGGAAATAATTATGGGCTTGTTATGCCACTAATTTGGATTTTATTATAAGAATTAAAGGCTTTCCTTTTGCATTTCTTCTTTCCCCCGATGCAAACATTGGTATAACCAGTTATTAAATTATAAAGGGCATAGATTTTAAGCTTCATTTTCCTAATTTTGATAGCGTCTAGTATTTCTTTTGAGGCAAATTAAACACCTGTCTCATCTCATGTTTATAACAGTAAAATTTTGGTTTTGGTTTAGCTCCTCTGCCCCTTTCCTTTCCCCTCACCTGTAATTTGCATGGTAGTGAACTTAGGTATTTTACCAGACCTCGGTGTACTTGAATAGTAAATATAATCAATACCTCTTAAAATTATTTGTAGGTGTGTGACAGTGGGTCCATATGTTCTCCTTGCTGCCTGGCACACAGTACCACACCACAGTAAATTATTAATTGTCGAATTGTAACCTCATACTCAACTCAGCAAGTTTTGGACTGGCATCAGTTAAGCTTATCAATTCTTTGTCTTCCTTCACTTGCAGACTGTACCATGGTTGTCTTGATTTGTATCCGGTAAATTCTCAGGAAGACCTGTTATAGTTTACCTGTAGTACCACAAAGCTGCAGTAACATTATTTAGGTTTAATTGGGTCTTAGCTCTTAATTTGTGGGATTTTTTTTATGTACTCCCTTGAGCCAAAGCATTTTACTATTCTTGATGTGTGTTATAGTTTACATTCTGAAATGAATGTAAATGAAGAGCTAGAACAAAGCTCCGGCAGGAGGGCTGGGAATAGCTGATGTGAGTGCAAGAAGGTCTTAAAGTAAAGCTTTAAAACCACAGAGATGTGAATCGTTTTGTATTAAGTGGGTGGTTACATAAGTTATTTGATAATCTCTTTCAAGAGGTAAATACATGGAAACAAGGAAATAAACATATTTTAGATATTATTCTAAATTATTGAAAATGAAATTACTGACTGATTATTAGAAGGAGGATGGCTGAAAAGGTATTTTGGAGCTAAGTCAAAGGTAACCTCTGCTACTTAAGATGATTAAGTATGGTTTTTTTCTAGCTGTGAGGAAAAAAATATTCTTAAGCATTTTAATGGTGACTAGGGTGCAGTTTTCAGTATTATAAAGCATATTCTGCATATTCTCGTCTTCCTTGAATACTTTTCTACTTTATTTTAATTTTAATTTTTTATGTTATGTTAATCATCATACATCACATCATTAGTTTTTGATGTAGTGTTCCAGGATTCATTGTTTGCTTATAACACCCAGTGCTCCATGCAGAACGTGCCCTCCTCAATACCCACCACTAGGCTAACCCATCCTCCCACCCCCCACCCCTCTAGAACCCTCAGTTTGTTTTTCAGAGTCCATCGTCTCTCATGGTTCATCTCCCCCTCCGATTTCTCCCCCTTCATTCTTCCCCTCCTGCTAAGCTTATCTCCTAAAGCTCGTTTTGTTTGTCTTGGCATATTAATCCTTTAGTTAACCTATGTTCTGCACTATGTCGAAACCAGGTGCCATTTGCCCACATTTACAAGTAAATGATCTCTCCTTGTCATTTCAGATAAACTCCCCGAGAGTGTGCAACTAAGTTAATGTACTTGTTCTCTTACAGGAGTAATAAGAAGCTCTTTGAACTTTTTACTATTCATCTGATGCTTCAAGAATTACAAAGGACAACACATCCAGAGCAGGCCTTTCTCTGTATTAACCTAAATTCAACTCTGTTCAATTTGGGTTTGACAAAATGCAACTCCTTGGCCTCCAATGCAAGCCATTAGACTGGCTTATTATCATTTCATAATAATAATGTGTGTTGCTTATTTGTAAGATTGTAAAAATTACCAAAGTAACTAAAAGTCCACCAAGTAAAGTTATCAGTAGCATCATTTATCATGAAAAGTAGGGTTTTTTTTAACTTTTAAGATGAAATCGATAGAAGCTGTGGAATTTTTGGACTGTTTCAGTTCAACTAAGGTAGTACTTACCAACGTACAAAACGAAATTTCCAGAATTAATGACAGTGGGGTTACTTTTTGTAAGAGTGTTTTGGGGAAATTTTTAAAATTATGTGATTATTTGGAATAAAATTGGTGTGTGGGAAAGAGGATTAGATCATGTTGTCATTCTTTCTTAAGATATTAGCAATTTTCCCTTTCAGAAGCAAAAGTACATAACTTTTAACTTGCCATCTTCATATCATAACTTTTGTATCGATCCTAGATTCACAAAAACTGATTTTTTTATTGTGCTGTTCACAGAGTACTTTAAAGAAAGAATTTTTTTCTATTTTTATTTTTTTCCAAAATAATTATCACCAAGTATATATGTACAACAAAAGTTTAAAAAAAAAAACCCTGAAAAATAGGCAAAACTATCTTAGTCCCATCACCCAGGGATATCTCTTGCTATAGCCAAAGATGAGTGAAGTAGCCACAAGTCTGGGTGAGGTAGAGGTGGTGGGACTTTGGGCAGAACACTGCAAAACAAAGAGAAGGAGCATTGTCCTAAACACTTACAAAATTATGCTCTGTCAGTATATAATCTCATTTCCAGAAACTGGGAGAAATTTTCAGGAAACTTTTGGTCTCTTCAAAAGAATATAAGAAAATATGCTATTTGTGAAGCAGAAACAGAAAGCTGTAAAGAGAGAACAGACTAAGGTGAGTATGGTGACGCTTATAGGAACTAAAGAATGCAGAAGCAAAAGTGGACAGCAGATACTTCAGAAAACAGAATCAGTGTCACACACACACACAAAGCAGCTCTCAGAATGCAGAGCACCCAGAGATGGTACCAGCAAGCGAGTGGACAGCCAATGGTAGGACAAAGGTTGGCACTTTAGCATGGGGTGTTTGATGTTTGTGAAAGGGAACAGAACAGGTAGAGCAGAAGCACTGTTCAAAGATAGAGATGAATAAAGATTCGGGGGGACCAAAGGAAGATCTGCATGTAGAGATTCAAAGAACTCATCATGTTCCAGAAAAATCACTGAGAAAAGCATTCTATAATTAGACACATCCTGTAAATTAGACACAAATTATAATTTAAAGTATTAAAATTTGAGGATAAAGGCAAGAACAAACAAAAGCCAGTAACCTGCAAGAGAAGAAAAAACAAGCCAGCCTCATGCCGTGCCAAGAGTTGATAGGAAACCATCCCTTCGCATTTTGGAGAGGGAAATTTTTAATCCAAGATTTATACCTAGTGAAGATGCCTTCACAGGTGAAGACAATGGAAGAAAGACATTTTCAGATATGTACAACAAAAGTTTAAAAAAAAAAAACCTGAAAAATAGGCAAAACTATCTTAGTCCCATCACCCAGGGATATCTCTTGCTATAGCCAAAGATGAGTGAAGTAGCCACAAGTCTGGGTGAGGTAGAGGTGGTGGGACTTTGGGCAGAACACTGCAAAACAAAGAGAAGGAGCATTGTCCTAAACACTTACAAAATTATGCTCTGTCAGTATATAATCTCATTTCCAGAAACTGGGAGAAATTTTCAGGAAACTTTTGTAATTTCCATTTCAAGGAGGAAATATTTAAAGCCATGTAAATTGTCCCGGAATGTAGAAAAAGCACCCTAACTCATTTTATACAGTTAGCGTGAACCCAGGACCAAAAATTGTCAAAGAAGTCAGAAAGAATTAAATAGATTGAAAAATCTAAAGAATTCTGGGCAAATCAATACCAACCATTCATCACCAGAACAATCCATGATCATATAGGCTAGCATGCATCCTAGAAATACAAGGTTAGCTTTCTGGTAGAAAAAAATATATTTAATCACTAAACTCTACCTCTGAAACTAATAATACAGTATATGTTAATTAAATTAAATAAAAATTTTTAAAAAAGAAAAATATATTTTACTGTGTTTTTAGAGTTAAAGGAGGAAAACCATGCAGTCATCTTGCCTAAAAATGGTATAATTCAATTTACATCTCTGATAAAACTTATTACAGTATGCTTAAAGGAATATGAAATCAATAACAAATTTACTATGAAGCACTATATACATGCTTAAGGTGAAGAATAAAGGAGTCCACTGAGGAAGTGTAACTGTGGGAAAGGAGAAAAAAAAGATCATGTGCAAATGATGTGATTACCTAGAAACCGTAGGATTTTTACAAAACTTAAGCAAGATATCCAATTGTAAAATAAACATAAAAAGCAAAAGCTTTTACATATTCCAGCAATAACTAACTAGAAATTATTTTTACTTAAAATAACATATTTAATAGTATATATAATAAACTTAAACTTTTATAAGAAACAAACAACAGAAATGTTCAGAACCTAAACGAGGGACGGTCAAACTTTGCTGAGGGTCTCAAAGGAGACTTAATGGAGACATACATCATGTTACTGGCTGAAGAAACTTGATTTTGTTGGGATGTCAAATCTCCCCAAATTACTTCATTATTTCAACCAAAATTATTTTCAGTCAGAATTGCAAAAGAATTCTCTTTAGAAATTGAAAAAATCATTCTAAAGCTAATTTGGACAATTAACCAGGCAAGATTAGAGAGAGAAGCTTTTGAAAATAGCCATAGCTGGTATTTGTTAAGTGTTTTAAGTACTGGACACTGAGCTGAGTTTTTACATGTATGATTTAATCCTTCTAAGAACTTTTTTTTTTAATCCTTCTAAGAACTTTGAGAGGGGTTAAAATCATTGCCATTTTACAGATTGGAAAAGAAACAGGCTCAAGGAGACCTGAGTAGCTGAACTAAGCCACTATCACTGCTGTGACTGGAGCTTAATCTGCTACATGAAGGGGGGGGATAAGAATGAATTTACAGTACTAGATTTTTACCCATATTATACTTGTGGCTCAAGTCCATGCATTTTCATTCTCTCTCAATACCCCAATCTATTGGATTAAGAGAAGTAATTACTTCTAAAGTAAGTAAAGGTAAATAGAAAATTTTTGTTTTCAGTGGTGTAGTGTACTACACTTCTCCTCCAGGTGCAGTACAGCTAAGAATGTTGAGTGTCTTACACACACACACCCTGAGCAGAAGGCAAAATTAAAAACTTTGGAGGCCAGAAATGATAAACATAAACTCAGAAGGGTAATTGAGGACTGGAGCCCAGTAGTTTTCCCTCAGTTACCTGCTGATCCCTAGTAGCCAGGGTAGGCAGACGGGGCAGAAGGCAAAGCCTTGCAACAATCAAGATGGTAGATTGAACCACTGATCTTTGCATAAAGTTAGGACTCCTGCAGGAAGCTTGTGTGATAGAATTAGGGAAGACCCTACTCTGCAGAGGGAGAAAGTGGAAATGCCTGTCTCAGCTTTGATTCCGGGGAGGAAATCACTCCTGGATTTCCTAACTACTGGTCCACATTTACATGAACACGGGGCTTGAATTCACACTATGTTGGCAGTCAAAACAGTTAAGTAGAGAATCTGGTTGAAATGAGTTCCAGACTGGTTACCTTCAGGTGCCTGATAGAAGCATCCCAGACCTTAGAAGTTTCCTCAGATAAGGTGCCAAGGAACATGAGTTCACAACACACACACACAAAGTGAGAGCAAAAATTGTAAACAACAAAAATTATGGTATCTCACAATTGAGATACCATAATACAACATAAATTATGTTCAGTGGTTTTGAAGAAACGAGGTAATTAGAAATATAATGAAACAAGACTAATAATTGGCAAGTTTTGAAAAGTAACTTCTAGAAGTGAAAATATCGAAATTAGAAAAGATACGGTTTAAAAGAAAATTGGCTGTAGAAATTACACAGAATGCCCATAGAGAAAAAAAAAACCTAAAAGATTATATTACATGAAGGATAAAGCATAAGGAGATCTAATATACATGTTAAATGGGTTCCAGGAGGGAATGGGGCAGAGATAGCATGTGAAAAAATAATGACTGAGAATAAATTATTGAGAACTGATGAAAAATATGTACCCCAGTTCAAGAATCCAAATGAATTAAAAGCAAGGTAAATAAAAAAATATCCACATTGTGGTGCCTGGGTGGCTCAGTCTGTCAAGCATCTGTCTTCAGCTCAGGTCATGACCCCGGGGTCCTGAGATTGAGCTCCACATCTGGCTCCCTGCTCAGTGGGGAAACTGCTTCTCCTCCCTCCGCTGCTCCCCCTGCTTGTACTCACTCTCTGTCAAATGAGTAAATAAAATCTTAAAAAAAAAGACATCCATATCTAAAAACATCATATTGATAGAAGATGAAAGAACACCAAGAACACCAAAAACAGAGTAGAAATTTGAAAGCAACCAGAGATAAGACATTAATTTCAAAGGGGCAATATAGATTGAAAATGACTTTCAACAACTGGTCCATTAAATGGTGGAATATTTTCAATGTACTGAAAAACAAGGCTGTCAAATTAGAGTTTTCCTAGTCATCAAAATATCTTTCAAGAACAGTGGCAAGATAAAGATATTTCAGAGAAAGCAAATTAAATATTTACTACCAATAAACTACATTTAAGGGAATTTCTAAATGATGTACTTTAGGAAGAAGCAAAAATGGTCTTAGGAAGTTGAAGAGGTGAGATGACATAGCAAAGAGAATGGTAAATATGTGAATAAAACAACTCTATGAAATAGCCATATTTAATTTGGTTATAAAAGAACTAAAATCCAGGACAAGAACTCAGGAATGAGGTAGTTAGAATTAGAGCTAAAATGTTTTAAGGTACTATGTTGCTTAGTAGGGTAATTCAGACTTTTAAATTAAACATGATGTTAAAATTTCTAGAAAAACCACCAAAAGATTAAATACAGAATAATTTCTAAACTAATAAAAGAGGTAGAGGACTCTACCAATGAAGGCAAGAAAAAAATAAGCAGGGAAAAAAGGGAAATATATACCAAATAAGATAGTAGAAGTTAATCCATTATATCAGTAGTCACAATCAATATAAATGGATTAAACTCACCAGTTGAGGCAATGATTACTGGAGTGGATTAAAAAATCCAGCTATAAATTGTTTTCAAGAGCCATTCTAAAAATATAAGGACACAAAGAGTGAAAACAGAGGGAGAAAAAAGATATATGGACAAGACCTATCCAAAAAAACGTGGTACAACTCTAAAATACAAAGTGTAAATAATTTTTAAAAATCAGAAATAGGTCATTATCTAGT